GGGGCTCTGTGGCTCTCAGCAGGCAGGAGCTGAGCTCCCCTCCTAAGAAGCCCCCACTCCAGCCCCAGAACCCCACCTCCCACAATACCAGAGAGGGGCATTCTCTCACTGAGAATCAGCAGGGATGTGGTCAGTAGAGGCCACAAGCATCCCCAGTGTGCAGGCCGGGCTTACCAGATGGGGCCCCTTTGGACCCCAACTTCTTAAGAACACAGAAAAGCTCCAGGAGGGATGCAGGTGTCTGGAAGGTGTCGTGCCTTCCCCCTCGATGTTCAGACCTTCCTCACTTGGTGAAGCACAGTCCATACTTGTTCCCATGGTCAGGGATGTGCCTGGGGCCGTGTGAAGAGCACTCCAGGACCTCATCGCTGTCCCCTTGTGAGCTGTGCAGCCTCCCCTGTGGGAGAGTGGAAGCAGGAGCTGGACACACACTGACTGGGTGGACGGGGGTCAGCACTGATTCCGGCTCCTTTTCCACCTCAGCCTCCACCAACCTCACAGACATGGACCCCAAGTCCCAGGTGATGCCAGAGGAGATATTTGGGCTGGAGATGACATCAAGTGTGTGCACAGCCTGGAGGAGGACATCCAGTTCAACAACTGGGGCGAGAAGCCCCTGGCTCTCTATGTATTCTCCACCAGTGACCCTGTGGGCCTCAGAGTCCTCCTCCCTGGGTCCTGGGGTCTTGGTCACTGCACACTCACATGCATAGAGGATCCAGGAGGCCTCAGGCATTTGGATTCAAATTGCAGCTTCTCAGTTCACTGGCTGTGTGACTTTCAGCAAGTCACTTAACATTTCTGAACTTTTTTTTTTTGGTCTCATCTCTAAGATCAGGACAATAGTGTCACTGAGAAGTTTGAATGAGGTGTTTATTGACTCAGTGCCCTCCACATGGCCATGAGAGCAGTGGCATCTCCTCTCTCCCCAAGGGGTGCTGAGAGCCATGTGATATTTAGGAAGGGCTGGAGATGATGGCTGGGGCTCTGGCTGCACCAGCTCGATCCTTGTGACTCTAGAATGTGCTGAGGTGGGGCAGTGAGGGAGCCTGAGGCATCCTCTGGGCAGGAGTGAAGGCCAGCAGCTGGGTCCTGAGGCAGGAGAGAAAGAAAATGATCAGAGACATGGAGCAGCGGGGTGATTGCCAGGATGTCATTGTCCATGTGGCTGTGCAGTCTCTGACATTTGGCAGCAGGGGTGAGTCTAGGTCTGGGATCACTGCCTGCCTGCCTCCTCCGAGGCCCCCAGGGTCCCACAGGGTCACAAACCCATCTGCAACATCAGGGGGTCTTGTGGCTCCTACAACCCCGACCTTGGACTCTCATAAACCTCTCTGGTTTTGTCCTACTGCAGACTTACTGGGTCCTAGAGGTCATCTAGTACACAGGCTTCTTCCATGGACAGTTGAATGGGGACAAGGTTTCCATTTGGGATGGTGAGGATATTGTTGACTAGATGGCGGTGAAGGTTTTCCAAAGTTACATGTTTACTAAATCACACTGGGTTGTACCCTTCAGAATGGACAGAGGGTAACTATTACACGTGAATTTTACTTTTTATTTTTTTATTTAATTATTTTATTTTATTTATTTTTATGTGGTGCTTAGGATCGAACCCAGGGCCTTGCACTCTAGGTAGGTAAGCGCTCTACCGCTGAGCCACAACCCCAGCCCGTGAATTTTACTTTAGTAACTCAGGGAGAGAGTTGAAGGTGAGCCATCCCCAGCCATGAGGGGTCTATGAAGATCCCATCTCAGTCCCAAAGAGTAGAAGAGCTGAGGAAAGCCCTGATCATGGGACCTTCCCTGAACTCTCCCCTTCCTCCCTGGCTCTGCTCTGGCCTGAGAAGTCGCGCATCCGTGCTCCACGCCCACTATTTTGAATGGGGAGCAAAAGGAACTGCTATTGGTCCAGCCGGTGGGGCTGAGCGCTGATTGGCTGAGGCTGGCAACGGACCTGCATGCGCGCAGAGAGCCGTTGAGGACTCTCTGTGTGGCAGTTCCCCAGCCCTGGGCTCAGTCAGCGCCTTTTCAGCACCTGGTGAGCACCGCAGGAGCGCCCTGGAGCCAGGTGCTGCTATCCAGCCCCAGTGAGTGCCAGAGGTCTTGCAGGAGGCTGGGGAGGGGACCCTCCCTCTTAGTGCCTGGTCACTCAGGCTTGCCCAATTCACTTCTTGTCCCTGTCGGGTCTGGCTCCTCCTCTGTCCTCAGGGTCAGGTTCCTCAGTCCAGGGTTTCCTGAATTCTCCTGAAACACCCTCACTGATCC